AAGCCTGGACGGCGTTCCATGTCAGCTCGTATGTTGAAAGAGTGCGGCAACGGAAGTGTAGGCTGTGAGAAGCGTGAGCGGCATTTCCAAAGGACAGGAGCCGGTATGGATCCCTGCCGTGAAATGGTGGCAGGGTGTCAATAAGGTCATGCCCCAACCCCAAGGGAGGCCTGGACGCCGTCATTTGGTGGTCATAAGGGAAGCTGAAGCCGTGGGTGGGACCTCATTGCCAAGGAAGCATGAACGGCGTTCCTCGACAGAGAAGCCCCCAAAGCCGACGAACCACGAAGACACGTACCCGTGGCTTGCCGCAGATGATTCACTTGCCGAACTGCGATTGTAATGAAGAGAAAAGAGACAATACCCGATCTTGGGCCAGCTGTTCGTATTCTGCCTCTTCTTCCTCACGCACCTAGCATGCGCGTCTGTGCCAGAGTGCCAGTTTCGGTCTTCGTCACCACAATATATATATATATATATATATATATATATATATATATATATATATATATATATATATATATATTGTAACGCACCATGAGCTGTAGAGACAAGACAGCAACAGCGGGGCAGATAGGCACGAGCATGTATCTTCAAACAACGAAGCGCTAACACGCACTTCGTTCTCTTTGCCCTTTTCGGCTAGCTAGGGCTTGGCGGCTTACAACTCTAGGTGGCATTATTGCCCCTCCCATTAAGCATCGACTCGATGCTCATACACAAGGGGACAGCAGTTCCCATAAAGAAAAAAGAAGAAAAGATACTTGTAGTGCACAGCGCATATAAAGGTACAAAATAAAATGTCTGTGGTTGGTCATAAAAACATTAACAGAGTTCCCAGTTTGTTGAAGATCCAACAACAACGTAAAAATCAAAATGTTTGCTGCCCGGGCACAGTAAGGCGTCACTGCGTTATCACTGCGTCAAATAAGGTTTTGGGCGGACGGAATGCACAATCTCTGTTCGTGGTAAGTGGCACTGGGTCGTTGGCGAGCATCCGTCTGAAATAACTTCATAGTTGACGTCGTTCAACCACCGTAATACTCTGTAGGATTCAAAGTACTTGCTCGGGAGTTTCTCGCTGACACCTCGCCGTCTAACAGGCGTCGAACCCCACACTTGGCCGCCAAGTTGATAGGTGACTTGTCGAAGGTGGATATTGTACCTTCGGGCGTCTTCACCTTGAAGCAATCTTACGCGCATGCTAGCTAGTTGACGTGCTTCCTCTACACGCTGAATGTAATCCTCGACGTCTGAAGTTAGCAGCCTGTGCTGGTCAATGTCGCAAGGAATCATGGCGTCTAGTATGGTTTGCACGTCTCGACGGTAAACTAAGCGGAAGGGTGTGAAGCTTAACGTTTTCTGGATTGCGTTGTTGTACGCAAACGATACGTACGGCAGGATCTCGTCCAACGTTTTATGCTGCACATCCACGTACAAGAAATCATGTCCACCAGCGCTTTGCTTAGTCTTTCCGTTAGGCCGTTACTCCGTGGTTGGTAGGCGGTTGTCTTATGGTGGTTCATGTAACTGAGCTTGAAGATGTCATCCAGAAGTTTTGCCGTAAACGCTGTCCCTCGGTCAGTGATGATGAATGAAGGGGCGCCGTGACGAAGCACACTGTGGTGCATGAAAAACTGGGCGACTTCAGAGGCTGTACCACGTGGCAGTGGCTTCGTCTCAGCGTAATGCGTCAAGCACTCAGTCGCGACGACGATCCACTTGTTTCTGGAGTGAGACAAAGGAAACGGTCCAAGGAGGTTCATCCAAACCTGGTGAAATAACATACGCAGTGGGTCGATGGGTTGTAGGAGGCCTGCAGGCTTTACAGGTGGTGACTTTCGATGCTGACATAGCGTCATCGTTTCACTTAGCGTTTGACACAAGCTGTAAGTTTAAGCCAGAAATATAGCGGTCGTACCTGGTCTTGCGTCCGTGAGTATCCCAAATGGCCGGATGTCGGCTCATTGTAGCAGGCTAATAGTATGTCCTCACAAAAGTCTTTATAAACAACAAAAGATAAGATCTGCTGCCGACAACGGTGTTTTTCTTGTATATTATGCCGTGTCGTAAGCAAATGAGGGAAACGTACGGGAACATGGATGACGAATAGACGTGGTGCTGCCTTCTGAATGATCAATGATTGGCCTACTTCTGGATGCGCTCCTGGCTTACATAGGAGGTTCGCCCCCTTGAAAGTCGCCAGGAAGGCGCTGTCGTCTTCTACAGCTGTACGGTCGGATTCCAGAGGTGCTCGTGATAGCGTGTCGGCGTCTTCATGTTTGCTACCCGACTTGTATACGATGGTGACATCGAACTCTTGAAGTCACAGACTCCATCTTGCTAATCGCCCAGAGGGATCTCGGAGGTTAGCCCACCAAGATCAAGCGCGGTGATCAGTCGCAACTTTAAATGGGCACCCATAGACATTAGGCTTGAACTCTGTAATTGCCCATACTATCGCGAGACTTTCCTTCTCTGACGCTGATTAGTTGGTCTCGGCAAGTGATCGAGGGTGGCTCGCCTAGGCAATCACACGTTCGGTCCCATCTTGTGTTTGCACCAAGATAGCTCCGAGATCAATGTTGATTGCATCAGTGCGCACCTCTGTATTGAAATGATCAAGCACAGGGGGAAGAAAATCGATGTTTCAGTTCCGCAAAAGCAGTCGCTTGTTCGTCAGTCTACAGAAATCGGGTGTCGTCACCCGTAAGTCTAATAACCGGCTCCGCCATCTTGTAGACGTTTTTAACAAAGTGGCGATAGTATGCGCAGAGCCCCAGAAATCATCGAAGACTTTTCCAGTCTGTCGGAACTGAAAAAGCGGCCACAGCGGCAGTCTTTTCGAGATTGGGCCGTGACCCAGAAACTACAGTGCTTTGTAGCCGATATGGCACCTCTCAGACTTAAGGGTAAGGTCAGCGGATCGTATGGCTTCAAGAACACTCTGAAAGAAGTGAAGGTGCTTGTCAAACGTTTTTGAAGAGACAACGACATCATGTAGATAGACGAGGCTACGTTTCCACTTGAGTTCAGCGAGAACGGTATCCGTCATTCGTTGGAGTGCGGCCGGAGCGGAACATAGGTCGAATTGAAGCACTCAGAATTGATACAGACTGGCATGAGTTACAAAAGCCCATTTTTCGCGGTCACGTTCATCGACTTCAAATTGATGAGAACCCCTTCTGAGGTCCATTGAGGAAGAGTACTTTGCTCACGTCAACCCGTCAAGAAAATCATCCGTTTGAGGCAACAGGTACACTTCTTTCTTTGATGATATTCAGCTTCCTATAATCGACACAAAAGCAAAGTGCGCCATTTTTCTTCTTTACAAGGACCGCTGGCGATGACCATGGGCTCCTTGATGGCTGTATTGCACCGTCTTGATTCATTGAAGCAAACAGGCCTATAAAGAGTGTGCCGCACTCACCGCCATGGCTACAGGTGGCACAGACTGACACTCCCACGTTTATATTCACATATAAACCCAAAGAAAAGGCGGGGGGGGGGGGGATTGCCGCCGTGGTAGCTCAGGGGTAGAGCATCGAACGCATTAATCGAAAGTCACAGGACTTTTCTTCCTGCACGTTTACGTTACAATTGGTCTAATAACTTCCCCTATACATTCGTTGGCATTATCGTCTGTTAAATCTTATATATATATATATATATATATATATATATATATATATATATATATATATATATATATATATATATATTATTTATTTCCAGGATTTCTGCTGGCTTCAAAGTGAAGCGATAAGCAGGAGTGGGTAACATATAAATATAGATATAGCACGCTGAACATTTTCACAATATATTAAGCACAGAGAATGTCGCGGACACACAGGTTTTAACACGGTAAAAAGAAAAATATACAGTGCATGACATGCAATTGCGCATAGCCTAATACTGTGCGTAGTAACCACACTTGTGTACTAACAACGCAACGTCACAAAACAAAGAGTACAAATATGGCAGGAAGACATGCTATAAGTTTTTTAGCTACGATAAGAATGACGCCGCTGTCGCCGCCTCCACAATTCCACCAGGGAGGCGATTCCACTCGCGTACAGTTCGTGGGAAAAAAGAGCCCATGTACAAGTTCGTTCTGCAAGAAAATTCCTGTAATTTTTTTGAGTGATCCGCCCGCGTGGGTCGTCGCACAACTTTTTCTATATACGCACTTGAATCAATGCAAAGCTTATCGTGGTAGAGCAGATACATATATTTTAGTCTTTCACGATATCGCCGCAAATCTAATGCTTCCAAGTTCGCTGTCTGAAGCAAAGCAGTGACTGACGTGAGGCGATTGTATGAGCGAAAGATAAATCAAGCAGATTTTCTTTGTAGGTTTTCTAGTTTATCAATATTTTTCTTTGTGTATGGGTCCCAGACAACGCAGGCATATTCCAAAAGGGGACGAATGTAGGTTTTATATTCTAATAGTTTTATTTCTTGCGTTGACTGTCGTAACGATCTTCTGAGATATCCAAGCTTTTTCATGACTTTCTTTTCTAGAAAAGTGATATGTTCATTCCACCGGAGGTCTGAAGTGATTATAAACCTAAGTATTTATAACGATTTACAGCACTACGACAGTGACCATTTATTGAATACTGGAAAGTAAGTGGTGCCTTCTTTCTTGAAATTGTCATTGAGACGGTTTTTGTAGTATTGATACTTATCTGCCATTTTTCACACCATTGTTCACACCAAATATATATACATATATATATATATATATATATATATATATATATATATATATATATATATATATATATATATATATATTAGTATCCGCACCTAATCTCAGTTCTAGTCGCGTGCAACATTCAGGATACGAGATAGTTCGGCTTCGGCCTATTTGAGTAATATCAGACTCGCAAATTACACTGCCTGTTATATAGTCGTGGCAGCAATATGCAGAACACCTTCATCTTTTCATGTGCTATGCGGCAATACGTTTTGTGGCTAGTTTTCATGATACTCACTTGTTTGCCATGCCACCTGACAGGACGGATCCAGATTGAGAGACGTTGTGGATGAATGCGTTGGAGCACTCGGTAATCGTGTCATCATCTGGGTTGCAATGATCAGATGAAAGTTTGCCAGCGAATTCTGCGAAGACGGGTAAGAACAAACTTAGTCTATATAACTCGAGATTGGTCGGCTTTATATCGCAATCAGACGACAAAATTTTTCTCTGTATAGAACACTCGAAAATCCAGGTACTTTCATGTTTTTAAACTAGTGTTGGAACCATCACACGGCATGACTTTATAATAAGACAAACGTTGCGATGCAAACCACATCTATTATACATTGTTCTTAGACCACTTGAGTATTCGCTGTTAGTTTTAAGGCGAAAGTGTTGGAGCCGGAGTTCACCACGGCTACGCTGACGTATTTTTGTCACAGAAGTGACGGTGAAAAAATCTACACTAACTGATTGCAATAAAATAATAACTAAAAGGCAGTATCTGTTGCCTGGAAACAGATACTGTCTGGAACCAGCAAGTATTTCATTGCCAGAGCGTGGCGTTAAGCACTCTGCCACAAAGCGTTTTTACTTTATTGCCTGTTCGCAGACACTGCACATGAACAATAACGTAAAGGTCACTACAACAAGTAGTTGCAGTGCTACTGATAAGACAATAATTTTCAAATTCCTTCAGAGCTGTCAGAGCAAGGGTATGTAGTTGGGCGTGTTGGTAATTCATAACGAGTAATATTGTAGCGCGTAAAAACTCAGAAACAGGAGAAGGGAAGGGGCAAAATGGGAGCACTAACTTTCAAAAAAAATTATTTCATAGAGGGCACATATTCATACTTACGAAATGCAAAAAAAAAGCTGAGAAAACAGACAGACAAAACCCAATAGAGGGAGTGCTAACGCATTTAAGCTATAATCTGCTAATCTGCTCTGGCTCGACAATCTCTCTGATACTTTTATTTCTGTTTTTACCGACAATAACAGTCTCACGAAAAAGTTGTGTGCAGCTCCATGCGCTGCAGTGCTGTGCCGAAAAAACCATCATGACCATTCCTGGCGTTGCACGCGTGTTCACGGAGCCAGTCTATAAAACAGCGCCCAGTTTGTCCTATGTAGTGCTTGTCACGTGAAAGAAGTATCTGATAGATTATATTGTCAGCACATGTGAGAAACAGGGTTTTGTGCTTTTTAGGACAACCTGGTATTGCATGCAAAACCACTTTCACCCTGTTTGTCCCGTGTGCTCACAATATAATCTATCAGATACCTCTCTCATGCGGCAAGCACAACATAAGACAAACTGGTCGCTGTATTAATTTCCGGCTCCGTGAACGCGCGTGCAACGTCACGAATGGTCGCGATGGTTTTTCGGCACAGCTTTGCAGCACACGTGGCTGCTGTTGCGACCGGGGTTTGCAGGCACTGGAGGTCCGGGATAAAGTTGTCGAGGCAGGAGGAAGAGAGACTTGAAGAAGGTTTGTTTACATTATATACAAGATGAGCTATCGTACATGACGAGCTCTTTCTCAATTGGCGAGCTTTCAAATCTGGCGTTCTACATGGCGCTCCTTCGAATGAGCCGCGTGGCTCATTTTAAAGGGTATGTGCTCCCCAAATCTCTAGATCAGAGAACACGTGCAGATGGTTCTGTCCAATCACAGATCACACACAACTGGCGAGGGGGATGAGCATGCACGGCCCACGTGAATGTCCAATATTGAGGTGTGACTCTGCGGTCCAAGGTGGTGCCAGCGGTGCTATTCTTCGTCGTGTATGTGCCACTGGTCGATGGGTCCCGAGATCATGACAGCATACTTCAAAGTGTCCTCCAAACTGCTCGCCAAGTTAGCGGGGCGATTTGTGGCGACCGCCGTGGTCTCTTTCAAAGAAGATGCTGTATTTTGTGTCCTCTCTCGAAGAGCCGACGGTGTCGTGGCAACACGACGCCTCACCCTCCGGCTAGGAGGGACAATGCCTGGTGGTCATAGGCAGCCGGCCGGTCGGCTACTTGTTTCATGATCCAAAAAGCACCGCTCCTTCGTCAGCTCGGGAACCAGTCACAACACTGCACACTACTTTTTTGTCACACCGTGATTGTTGGTAGAAACAGAAATGAAATGACAAGGGTTCAGGTAGAGAAGATTAGTAGATTAGGGCGAAACTGCGTTAGCGCTTCCTTCATCGGGCTTTGTCAGAAAGAATTGTCCTTCTTATGATTGTAAATTTTTGTGCATGTCATTTGTGTGTTTCAGAGTTGTTTTGTGTGCTTTTGCATTTCGTGAGTATATATATGTACTCTCTACGAAATAAAATTTTGTTGGAAGTTAGCGCGCTCCTTTTGCCCCTTGCCTTGTACTGTGTCTCAGTTTTTTTAGTGCTACGATATTACTAGCTGTCAGGAGTTCCACCCTCGACAAGACCTCAGGAAGAGGCTCTATTGTTTTCTCAAGTTGATCGAATTTCGACATACGCTCTCGAAAGTACATTCCTGAAGGTAGTGCGTCTGAATCGCACGGAAAGTCTGCCATATGGCACGTCATAAACAGTGGAGGCCTGCTAACATTAATATTCAATTGGCAAACCATCTTTATTACCTGTCGAGAAAAATTTGGTACCGTATGGGTCTAGCGGGAATGCCTTTTTGATTGTCCTCTGCAATGCATCCCTAAAATGCACTTTCTCCCAGCAATGCAAAAGAAAAAAAACCTAGCCAATAGTTTCTGGCTTATCAAAATTATGCTATCTGGCCCAAGGTAGAAAGACACCCCGCGCTTCCAGAAATACCTTTACGTGTGAAGTGCTGTATGAAGCCTAAAAGAAAATTTTTGTGGCAGGAGACACTTGCTTTATTTAACTCTGTTTAGCACGCCCTGCACTTTACCTCCTCTGTGTATGGCCCTGTGCAATAAAATGGGCAAAGTTCCATCGCACACATCTCTGTAAAGCCTTTCGCGTGCGGCTGAAAACATTTACTCATTACAAAATTTTAGTGGATACTTAATATCGCCTCCCTGAGATATCCGTGGACAGCGCCAATTATGTGGTGTGTTCCAACTACATATTCAGGTAAGGCTCTCATCCCCCTTAGGTGGTACACCATATGCAAAAACGATCACATGTTACGAAAAAGAAAAAAACTGTTTATAATTTGCCTTACATTTGCGTGGTAGTTTCAAACTACCTTTTTACTCGCCTAATGTTCGACTGCATTGTTCCCAACTTGAGGTTCACAAGAACAAAGACACGATGCAATTTCTGTATATTAGCCTGTGAACAATGCAACACCTGGTGCAGAAGACGCTGTTCTTTCTTCGCTTTTGCCCTTCCTGCTTCACAATATGTTATTGGCGCCTCAGTCTTCTGCACCAAGTACGCACCAACTAGCCCAAAAACGAGTCTTTTTGGAATACAACACCTTTACCACGTTCCACAGTTTCGAGATAAAGCACGTTTTATCTCATCAAATTATTCACGTCATTACAGTGTCACATTCATGAAGAGCAGCCTAAACCTGCCTGATCTTTCATGGCGCCGCGAATTGTCTCGCCTTCACCTTTTGCACAAAATCTATCATTATAACAGCCATTTGAAACACGCCCGCCCTCTTTCATCCACCTCAATTCATATCCCCAAAAAGACCAACCATCGGTTTAAGGTTGGCTTACCCTCATGTCACACGAGAGTGTATGAGAATTTATTTGTGCTAAGGACAAGCACCGTCTAGAAACACCTTCCTGCCTTCATCGCCTGCATAAGTGACCTCAATGACTTCAAGCTCGCCTTACATGATGCCCTGTAAAATTTTGCCTGTTTTTGTTTTTTTCTTTTTTTAATTTTTTTAAACTACACTTATGACTGTTTACACCACTCCTTTCTGTAGTGCCTTCGGGCCCTGAAAGTACCTTTATAAATAAATAATAAATAAAAAAATAAAGAACAAACCACAAACCGTAGCTCTCGAGAACATTCATGGATGGTGACCCTGTGGCCTACTCGCCTTCAAAAGAATTTTTGTTGCCTCTTCTCACCAGTAGATATCATTGTATTTCCAACTAATATCATCGTAGCGCGGAAAACCTGAGATAACAGAAGGCGCAGAAACAAGCGCTAACTTCCAAGAAGAGTTTATTTCGTTGAGTGCTTATATATTCTCACGAAATGCGAAAAAAAAAAAACAAAAGAGCTTTCAAACTCACAAATTTGTGAATATGTGTAGTGTTCTAGTGGTACCACTATATATTTGACAGGTGATGTCCCCAACTTCATATTGGCCAAAAAGGCCGGTTTGGATGACCACTCTCCTTCCCAGAAACCCAAGCACTTTCCCCAGTTCACACGACTACCAGTGGTGTTGTGGAAACTCTTCACTACAGCAATAACGTTTGCCACACTTTTTATATGCCAAGTATTTCTTAGCGAACTTCGGCGACTTTGCGCGTATCTATCTAGCCACCTGTGACATTTAGCTCTCCTGGCCGTTTCGATAATGGTATCAATACCAAACTTGGTATGGCATTTCATGCCTGTATGAAAAATATATTTGAGTAGTCATAACATGAAAATGACATGTATGTCATTAGTATCATGATTTACATTTCATGGTCTGCAGCTCTTGCGGTTGTTTCGTTCACATGGCATGTTGCAAAACTAGTATGGTATGGCATGATTGCATGGCGAACACAAGCAACAGACCCTCACACGAAAATCGTGACATGCGTGTCATGTAACAACATGACTACATGCCGCGCTTATAATGTGCTCACAACCGTTTCGCCAGCGTCACATGTACCAAACTTGGTATTACAGTACGTGATTGGATGACGAAGGTACGTGACTGGTGAAAACATGATAATCATGAGATGAGCGTTATGTAACAACATGACTACATGCCACACTCATGATGCACTGGCAGCGGTTTCACTAGCTTCACTTATACCAAATTTGGTACTACGAGACGTCAATGAATGACGAAGGTATGATACTGGTGCAAACATGATAAACATAAAATGCGTGTCATGTAACAGCATGCCTACATCCTACACTCATGCTGCACTCGATGTCGTTTCGCTAGATTCACATGTACCAAACTCAGTATTACACGGCTCTAACGGACTACATGGGTAAA